GCACAGGAACACTCCGGTACCAACAGTGGGCGTGCTGAACTCTGGACAAGCCATACCAACCGCGCGCTGGGCGTTCACTGCTGCCAATTCATTGCTGAGGACACAAAGGCTGGAGCTGAGATTGCCGGTCTCCAGCTCGTCAACGAGGCTGAGTGGGAATCAGAACGCATGTATGAGTGGTACGATGAATGCATAGCTGCTGTCTCTGCTATCGATCCTGGTATTCCTATCATCATCTCCGACGGTTGGCACCTAGAGAAAGCAGTCGACTGGACTTTGCAGAAGAACTCCATCTACTCGCACCCGCAGTGCCCAGTAGTGATCGATACGCACTATTACTGGGCTTTCACCGACGAAGATAAGGCAAAGACACCACAGCAAATCACGGAAGAGGCCGGTACCAAGCTTGGGCAGCTCGACGGTAAAGAAGGTTCTGTCCATGACCGCGGTGCGGTACAAGTCATTGTTGGAGAGTACTCCTGCGTTATGACCGAAGACTCTTGGGCCAAGGGCGGTGGGGTCCCCAAGGAAGAGCTCGTGCAACAGTTTGGTCAAGCGCAGAGTAGGCGGTACCAGCAGCGAGCTGGCGGCAGTTTCTTCTGGACCTGGAAAATGGATTGGATGCCTGGTGGGGAGTGGGGCTTCAAAGCTAAAACAGAAGATGGGAGCATTGTGCCACCTCAGTATACAGCAATGTCCGCTGATGATAGGCGAGGGGTGGTCGAGAAAGCCAGACACGAAAAAGACGGGCGGATGCATGAGGCTGTCCAACAGCACGTGTCTTACTGGAGTGGAGTGGATCCCAACGGTCACTATGAGCACGAAAAGTACGAACATGGTTGGCAAGTCGGATATCAAGACGCTCTTGCTTTCTTTGGGTGTGGAGAAACAAAAGGCGACAAGATTGGCATGCTCGAATTGTGGGTCCTCAAGCGAATCAGAGAGAGTGGATACAGAGGTGGCTTCACTTGGCTTTTCGAGCAAGGCCTGAGGAAAGGTGCGCACGACTGTTACTCTGCGCTCGGCATTTAATGGTTTGTGCACGGACGATATGGCTCTCGGTCACAACCGTTTGCTGTTGCTGCCTCAGTCACGAGGTACGTGCTCGGGGTGATGACGTTACGGTCAACTGTCGGATTCGCGACCTTCGTCGGTGGAACGTCTATAAAATCGGCAGAGACAAACATTCAAACAATGTATGTTGAGCGTACAGTGTCACTTTCTCAATGAATTTCCACGTCCCCTCTTCCACCCCCCCTAACTTGATCTCGCGCAATCCCTCAATTTCCAGAAAACGCCAAACCCATGGATCACACCCATTTTATACCCATTGGAACACCTGAAGAAGGGCCTGGCGAGGCGCTGCTTTTACTACATGACACACTCCCCAGGCGACCATATCAAGCTTATTGCGTCACCGAAGCCTCTTCACGACCGTCGAGCCCGGACAACCTTATTCCACAACCTCTTCGAACATCAACGACACCTGTATTGCAGGTTTTCATCGACACAGAGTCTGTTGAGACTGAAGACTGCGATCAAAACAACAACCTCACCCAGACTGCGGCAGGCAGTCCTGCGCAGTATGTCGAATCAGCAACATTACGCAGAACGGGACAGTATAGCAAAAGACAAACATTACTTCCCAATCGAAAGCTGTTGCCAGAGCGTACAAGATCGGGAAATACACCAAATCACATTACACGGGCTGTCACTCCACGCGGAAGCCACTCGTTAGCTCCATCTGAGGTGACGGTGTGCGACCTGCCATCATCACATCCACGGATGCAACAATCGACTCCTTCCAACAAAGAATCTGGTCGGACCGGCTCACACAAGCCAATTGAGCAATGCGATGATCTTTTGGGTACGTATCAGCGTCCGCTACCACCACTACCGCTCGGGGCGGCTTCAGTGATAGGCGAACAACAAGACATCGGCGCGCGGAGCGCAGACATTTACCGAAGTTCGGACGAGCCGGCTCATCCAGAATACTTTGAAGGAGAAAACGAGCTCAATACCCTCGATACTCAGGCGGGACCGCTGATCAAGAGAAACTGCTGCCTCGTTCCACGTCGGCCGTTGCCAGATTTACCGATAGACATCAGCCCAGATCATTCGAGTCAAGGAACTGCAGCGCAGAGCGCGTCTTCATCACACGTGACAGATAGACCCTCATATGACGCTGTCTTTGGTGAGTCGAGCATTAGTGCGCGAGAGCATCGTGTCTCGGGCAGCAATACACAAGAGCTCAAGGCTACTGACCCATACGAACCTCGCGGCCAATGGGATGACATTGACGATGACGTGCGACCCTTGCGGCGAACACAACCCAAAGATGCAAATCTAAAATACCAGTTTGGACAATTACCATCTTTCAGTTCAGCTTCGCCGCCATTAATCTCGCCACTCCGCGACAATTATCAGCACTCGGTCGGCAACTTCACAAACGCCGCGCCCTCTTTTCATTCGTCGACCGACATCCAAAACGGTCCCAGACCGCCTCCTTGGGGCTCATACGAAGATCTTGAGATGCAACGTCGACAGCGCGGCGATGCGAGAGAGCGCGCAAAAGTTAGAGGTAGCCGTTTGACGGCAGACAGCTCTTCAGTGTACCAGAAGTCAATGTCAACGGACAGCCTGGGTAAAGACCCTTCAAGAGAGGTAGAAGAGTACAGGGAGCAGATACTCGTAGTGTACCCGGATATGGAGTTCAATGGGGAAGCTGGGAGAGGTGATCGGGGATGGTGCTGCTGCGTCATGATGTGACCGGCTTGCCATTGATGCTCAATCCAGTCACTATGGGCATATCGCACTCATACTCGCAGAGTCTCCATGAACAGAGACGTGTAGTTCACGCTTCAACGACATACCTATCTCCTGACATATCAACATTGCGCACCAGGCCACTTCGGGCTTTACAACAACAAAGCTCAACTATCGCACCCATCCCTCCACAAATCTCCACCGCCAACTGAGTACACCACATCTTACATCCAGACTATTCAACTCATTGACAGCCTCCATCATGTCCACTGTCAAGGTCGACGGGAAAGCAAAGCCAGGACGCTCGAACACTGGCAGCAAAGCGCAACAGACTGCATCTGGATCAGCCGTCAAACCAGCCCCCGATAGCACCAACAGGTCACAAGTCACCGTGACAGTCAGAGAGCTACCAAGCACCTCCACAAAGACTCCAACAAAGCCGCACAACGCAACCAACAGCGTAGCATATGGATTGAAGAAGACCCCGGTAAAACCTCACATTGTTCGAGCTTTAGCAGAAGCAGAGGAGGAACGACAGCGGGAAAGGGAAGTCGAGGAGCTCAACCGTAGGAAGAGATTGGGACTCGCGCCATGGCAGAGATAGAAGGTAGTCTGGTACTGTCAGAGTTTTGGGTTTTGACATGTGGTTTCAGCATCCTAGTAGGTTATTGCTATTTTGTTTACTCAGATAGCGAAGGGGCGATTTCTTTCTTTTCTATACTGAGGGACAGTAAATGTACTTTGGATAATCTTGCGCAGGCTTGCGTAGGATCAGCTTTATATATTATGCTTTTCGAAACAATGACACGTATGCGCATGGTTATCGAATATGTCACGTGAGCCTACCAGTAGACGTTATGTTGGCTACAGATACTGCTTACTGCCCTTGAGTGAGCTGAGAACAGGCATGTGATGTTTGAAGTTCGATGAGACGGTACTGTAAACTTCAGGCCCTTGCTCCAGCCGGCTAGGTGATCACTGTCATGTGTTTCTCCGGCGTGTGACTCACCATCCCTGATCAATCCGCGGTCGTCGTTGACGTCTTTTGCTACACTCGTGGGAAGGTTACACAAACAGCCCATAAGTCCTAATGAGTCAACGCTGTCGTAGTCACTAGCTTGGAGTCACCTAGGTCAATGCACCCACGGTAGCTTTTGATTTGTGACTGATGCTCGGAATCTACAGCATCAATGATATGAATAATGAATGATACTGTTATCGCAGGTGTGACTAATCGCAGATATAAAAACCCCCCAGTGCCTACCTGGCTTTCCTTCACATACACATACTCATACACCTTCGTATACGCGCCTATCTTCACAAGATATTTACAACATATCTCGTCACTTCCTTGGTCGATCGGACGAGCTGTGTCAAACAGCCGTAATAAGACGAACTTAGGCCACATTTTCTGCATTCGTCTTCCGCGGTCTATAATGACGGATCCAACGAAGTCTAGGAACACCACGATAAGTTTCGAAGGTCGCACTCTTCCTGAGAGAACAGAGCTTTCGAAGCTCTTAGGGCAAGGTCGAGGTGATAAACAGACAACCGGAAAAGTTCAAGAGACGCAGAAGGTGAGAGATCGCGGCTGCAGACGCGGAACAAAGCACGACTAACTGCTAAGATAGGAGCCGGAAATGTTCAGTGAGAAAGACCAATCGAAGACTTGGTCCCTTAGTGGATCTCTTGGAGTCCCTGAAATCCCGTGGAAGGGTTCAGAGCGGAAGGGTCCAGATGAGAAACGCAAATAGGACGAGACTATCCAAACTACACCGGAGGTCTGCTTACTCGAGAAGGTTCTGAACGGTTGTCATTCATTGAATCGGTTGTATCGGATGCAGTCAGCTTATTGAAGGCCATTTCGTACGTCTGAGAGTTTGGTGCAGCGTGGTATCATGTGGTCAATGTGAACGTGTCGTTTGCACCAATAAACATGGACTACAATCAGGTACATTGAAATGAGGTCAAATATATCACAGCATCACAGCATCACAGCATCACAGTCTGCCGACTTCAATCCCGATGCCGTCGACTGAAACAAACACAAGACAAGTGCATCACACACAGCACTATATAAAGCCGGCTATACCCCTAATCTGTCTACATAACTCGGCACTCAAGCACTGCATCACTAAACATCACTATCAAGACTCTTCAGCACCCACGCCAGGAGATTGTAGTCCAGAGTCAGCTATATTTATTCATAGTACCGATAATCGACCTCTATCAAGATGCATCTTCCAGCCCACAAGCTCCAGCTGCGCCCTAAACTTACCAACGTTCTACAACACTCAAGCAAGACTTCCACACCCAAGACCCCCGAGGCTCAAACTTCAACCAAAACGGACAGCGGTATCAACACCAAAGACAAGCGCAACATCAAGATCGGCATTGCCGCACTTCGTACCGTCAGCAAATGGACCGATAAAGCTGCACTGACGCTCGAGAAGCTCGAGGGCCAAGAAGCCTCGAAGCACTGCCAGGATCGCCAGGCACGCTTGATCGCAAGAGATGGCAGTGAAGGATACGGAAAGAAAGCCCAGGATACCGGGGTATGGAGAAAGACTGTAGTATACCCGGTACCTGCCCAGGTTGGTAGTGCTAGGAGTATCGAAGTACACGATCAGCCAAGAGTGTACGGAGCAGCAACACCTTCCAGTAAAGAAGAAAGCCGCATTGCGGCCAGCGCTGTGGAGCTACCGCTCGTCCAGACTCATCATGCGCATGTCTTGGCTTCCGTTGAGGAGTACTATGACGAAAGCAGTGATGACGAAGACGAAGGCAGTACTTCTCGGCAGGTTGGCCTCAACAGCTCCACAGACGTTGGTGCAGATGAAGATACCGATGAGGAAGATACTTCCGATGATTCTAGTGACGATGAGAAGGAGGATGACAGCGATGACGACTCGGATAGTGAGCAACATGATAGCTCTGATGATGCTGAGGATTCGGACGAGGAGGAAGCTGAGGCGAAGCATCAGATGATCGTGAATGCTAAAAATTGAGGAGATGAAGAACGGAGGTAGAGGTGGTTTAGGTATCTCGTATGTGAAGAGGACGCGTTGTTGAACGATGTGGTCTTGAGGGCCTTAAGGGACGGGTTTTGACGTAGATTAAAGACTTGAGCGGAGAATGGCAGTAGTAGCATGAATCTACCTATAAATAAAGTGTTAACGCATGGCTGTACTTATTCTGCGAAAATTGCGACCTTCTGGTACTCCAGGGCTCCACTAACCTCCAGCACTGAAGTAGGAGATGCCAAATGGAGGGATATATACTAGCTAAGATGTTGGAAATGGAGTCGAATGATTATGTTTGGCTATGTGGTTGAAATATTCCAAAGGCCCGAAGTGAACTGCACGTCAGGCAGCATTGGTTCGGCACATATGCCGTAAGGTTTACACAATGACGTACCTGTGTAACTGCAACAAAAAGCCACCGCGAAAACCTCCAAACAACTTTCGTTTGTGAGATATTTGACCATCCCTTGGTATACCAACCAATAAGTATTAGCGAAGTGGCAGTGAAGGCAACCGGTACAGTAGTCCGACGACAGGCAGTGAAGGTAGGCTATCTGGCGGCTGTTAACGGCGCTTTGCAAACACTCCACAGCGCGTCACTCGTCCTCTCTCACCTTACTTGCACGCCTTGGGCAAGTTTTACGTTTGTGTTTTCATCCCACGTGCGCCCTAGCCCGAAAGTCGTGGATCGGCTTTGCCCTGCATTGTTCGTTCAGTTCGGTCCCACCCACATCCTCCTAGCAACGCCCGCATCCTCGCAGTCAACATCACGACTGTCAATTGCGAAAATGTCAACACACTTTCGCCCGCGCGCGACTACGCCTGGCCCGCCGAGCCCTACACGTCCATCAACAGCGCGCTCCACGATTCGCGCTATCTCGCCGTCGCCGCCACCGAGTTTGGATGAGGCTTCGCGACAAGATTCTGCGACTACTGGGTCACCGAATGTTGATCTTCACAGTGCATCAGAGAGTGCGAAGGTACGGCCAAAGAGCGATGGCTACCCGCGAGCCTACGTGCATGGTTCTGGTCGTGAAGAGTCGGACTTCGCCGACTACACCACAACAACAGGGAACGGTAACTTCGGAAGCTCTCCCGCAAACATCACTGCCAATGTCACCATCAAGAGAGGCGGCGGAATGATGACAAGGCGGTCACCGGTAAAGCGCGGTTCCAGATCAACAAGTCCGAAGAAACGTCCGTACAGTACACCGACGGAGCTGTCTTCGCACCGCGAGTCGACATTGCGTGACCAAGACGACATAACAGCCACCAACCCGCGAGATGCAGAGATCCAAGCTGGTGACTACGTCGATAGCGACGCATACACCGACTGCCCAGACACACCCACCCCGATGACAAACTCCCAAAAGCGCTCCGCCTATCTCCCGCTCGGAACTCCGACGCCCTTCCCAAAGTCCACGCGTTCATCCAAGCCCAAATCCAGATCAAGCCTTCCTCTTGCCACCCCTACTACTACGCCCACAGCACCGACGCCAAAGCTCGAATTCTTTGAATCCTTCGACGAGCAACCATCCTATGGCTCTGGGCTTTTCAACACGGACCATCCTCAGATGTCTATTGGGCCAGAAGACAAGCTCATGGCGTTCTACACCCAGACTGAGCGTCGGAAGATGCGTGAACGAGCGCTCGCAAGGGCTGCGCAACCGGAGAGGGCAGTGCCTGGCTCTCAGGCAGACTACGCGACAACGTCAGATCACCCAGGAAACGACGCCTTGGTTATGCAACAGCCCCTGCGAGAGGAGGACATTCGTGCGCGCATGCATCTGGCCCCTGCACAGCAGGCCATGGAATCACCGCCTCGGAAGCCTATGTCAGATGCGGCTGGCAACGTAGCGCGACACGTCTCGCCATCCGAGGGCTCATGTGTCTCCGGCGGAACGGTCACTAGCAAACGCTCTGTCTTCAGCACGCCGGGCAGAGACGAGCTTGAGAGGAAGAAGGCGATTGTAGAGACTGACGATGGACCATTTGCTAAAGCAGTGAGCATGGCAGATCTGAATGAAAGACGCAGGGTGGTCAGTGAGGAGGGAGCACAAGGTGTTCGAAGGAGCGAGGATTTGGAAGCAGAGGGCATGCAGAAGAAAAAGAAGGAGGGTAGGACTTGTGGTATGGGTATCGGGTGCAATGTCATGTAGAGATTGTCAAAAAGCTCGGAGATGTTTGTATAGACTTTGCATCGATGCGACGGAGGATGGTTCTGAACCGTAATATGAACGACAGCAATGAGTAACGATGAGGCTACTAGTTTGATGCTTAGCATAATATTGTAAAGTAACAATGAAACTGAAACTTCTCTGACGCGTGTGACAGAAGTATATCGCGAACAGACAGTGAATGCGACCACTAGCGAGCGCAACCGCAATACACTTTTGTTTGCTTCTTCGACGTCCAACTCTTCACTCGTACAACCCACTTTAAAGATCGCGACACATTAGCAGCAAAATATCACGCAATGGATGCCGCGCCCGATCGAGTACAAGCGCCGTATATGCTCGACAACCTGACCGCCGACGCGCAGCGAATATCAGCGAGCCTGCCACCGGACGGCTGGGATTCAAGCTCCGCCCTCGTGGGCTTAAAGCGTGACGTCAGTGGGGTATCGGTCGTGGTGAGTAGCACCAGCCCTAGACGGGTAACTTTGTCTGTATCAGCTGCTAACTAAAGGCTCCGTGAAGCCGTCAATAGCTGCGCCGGGCGATGTCAACAATGCTGGACATGCGCGCGCTGGGCTCTTCGCATGGCTCCGGCGATTAATCCGCACCGCTTGTCGTCGCTTCCGTAAACGCCACAAGAATGCGAAAGGCTCCTAACGGAAGGCCGGGTGGTTGTTGAACACTCCTAGCGATCGAAGAATAAGACATTGGTATGTGTAGAATGCGTTTTCGAGAGTCGAGCTAATAGCGCTTCTTAGATGAAGAATCGGCTGCGATGTCGAGTGCCTGTAGGATATCGGTACCGAAGACGACAGTCATGTATGCGGGGAAGATGACCCAGAGACCACTGCGGAATCAGTTAGCTTTTCTGTCCCTTGTAGTACGAGGTGCAAACAGATGCAGGATATCAGCTTACTTCATGACAAGGTAGAAGACCAAAAGCGTTGCCCAGTCGTTATGGCGAACGTTTGCGAAACCAGAGAAATACTCATTAAAGTCTATCATGGTTAGCCTGTGTATTGCCCGTGTGTCGCATGTGTACGTACAGTAGAGTACTGTCTTGCTGACTGTCATAACTGCTGCAGCAAACCCGATGATGAGCGCGCGGTTGCCAGTCTTGCCGCGTACCTTCCTGCCGCCAGAGAGGAACTTGCCCACGCCCTCGCTGAGCTGCAGGCCAGTACCTCCAGATGTAGGGACACTGTGGTTGTATATGATCATAGAGTAGAGGCCGTATAGCACAAGCTCCACAGCGTTCAGCATGGCTTGCGCGCCGCCAAACCCATCATGGTTTTCCCATCCGGGCCATCCGTATACGTGATCGATCGAAGCGTAAATCTCATATGGCTTCCAGATGGGCCATTGAAGCGCGCCACCGGCCATGGTATGTGGGCGCAGAAGAACATAGAGGGTGTCCCATAGCACAAGCGGAATCGAGATGGCAAGCCAGACTATCGTAAGATTGGATGCTGTGTGGCACCACGTCGGCTCGTCGATTTCGGATGGAGAGGGAGGGCTGATTTCGGCTTTAGCATTGGAGATTGCGCGCCTCGCAAGCGACTTTGGTGGGGGTGAGGTATTGAGGTCTGGGGAGGTGGGCGCTGGGGACGCGGTCGATGTTCGTGATCTTGGCGTCTTCTTGACGGGTGATGGCTCCGTGGCAGGGAAGTCGCCTTGCGGATGCGAGCGCGTAGACACCATGACGATGAAGAGATCAAGACGGCGTGAAGAATCTGGAGTTCAGCAGCAACTGCGAGAGGCGCAATGGAAGGGAGAATGTAACGTGTCGCAATGATGCAAAGGATGCTAGGGAACTAGTGGAGAACGGCTTCTGCTTTAGCCGGGCGGGGCTGTACCTGAGACGGAAGGCGCCTTCGCCCTTGATCCAATGATGCACCAAAGTTCAACCTCGATTTTCTCATTGGCGGCGCATCATTGTATCCCCTCACTTTTACGACGCGCTCTCATTCCTCACTGCTCACCTGCATGGGGGGCTGCAGAACACTGCATTAAACCCACTCCGAGAAAGTGCATGGCACGCCACACCCGCTGTTGCTGCGACCGTTTGAATGTGCACATGGAACAGTCACGAAGAAGTTTGTCGTGACTAGAATCTGGATTGTGGGATAAAAAAACAACCATGATTTAAAGAGCAAGCCCAGGGGTTGCGCTCAGCTCATGCAGCAAACAAAAAGAAGCGATTGGTTTCCAGTGGAGATGCGCTGTTGCGGCACGGACAGCTGCGGCGAGTACAGCCGCCGTGATGTTGGAAGCTGACCAACGGCCTTCACTGCAGCAGGATCATCTCAGCCTCAAGTGCATCTTTTGCAGTACAAGCCTTATCGCCAGCAAATCTTCCATTGTACTCGGGCCCATTGACGTTCATGTCGTTTCTCCTCCGCGCGGGCGAGGTTCTCAAGGGCCGCATAGGCAGCTACACGATCATCAAGCAAGTCTCACCGACACTTTGGTTTGCGAAGTGAGGCCAGGATATCGCCTTCTATGCCTTAGCCACTGACAGCTATGCAAGGGACCAAGGACAAACAAAAGTGGTGATCAAAGGCGGACCTCCAACGGTGCGAGTAGAACGTGATGCGCTCAAAATGTTCCAGCATTGCCCTCATATCAGACCAATGATCGACGAGATGGATGGGCCACCTGCCATGCCTCCGCTTATTACCTTGCGGTATCTCGACAGTGATGTCCTAACTGCATCGATCGAAAGGAAGTTGAGCCGAGAGGAGCTGAAATATGTTACTCGGAGGCTGTTGCTAGCTCTGAATACTCTGCACGAGAAAGGCTATGTGC